ACATTTATATATTATGTGATTAGAAAAAAATCATCATTCATCATTCTATAAATTTACCATTGGTTTGTCGTAATTAAATTACATAATCCATATTTTTATGGCCTGCACATTACTTGAATTCAAAGATATAGACAGTTTACAGTGATGCCAGACATATTATTTGCTTATAAAAAACGTACACGTTTTTAAAAACGAATGCTCATCGAATGCCAGTCAAGAATATAGATTTCAAAAACTACTCGCTTTTCAACCACTCGCTTTTGAAAACGGTTTGTTTATCCGGTTAACCGGTCCGATTATCCGGTGCGATTATCACTAGTAATACCACTAGAGGTCAAATTATTTCCGGAAATTTTTTCGAGCTCATGAAAATATTCATGAGCGAGAAAAAATTTCCTGATATTAATTTGACCTCGCGTGGTATTCGGTAAGAAAATTCCACGCCGAATTATGGTTGAAAATTAAATATTTTTAAAATTTATTTTTCGTTTCTCAACAATGCAAATTATTTTCTCCAAGTCACCAGTGAAACATAAAAGGTGTTGTCGCCTTGATTGTTGAGTTGTTATGGTAACTAAGTGAGACCCTAACCTCGAATATAATTTCAGTTTTGAAGTTGTCAAGCGGCCCGACGTAAAAAAAATGTTTCGCTGCAATTATTTAGGCCTTCAAATTGCTTATTTCTACTCATTGTAGTTGCATGGGAATACCATTTGAAAATAGAAAATAGTATATTCTTTAATTTTACGTAAGTTTTGAATAACTACAAGTGGTAGAAAATTGTTTTTCTGCGTTTTTATTAACATGCGTTATGAGCGCTTTAAAATGGTATGAAATTCATAACCAGCGTCAGCAAGCATCAATCGTAGGAGGCTGTGATCATTGTATTTTGACAGTTCAAAACATTAAATAACTCGCGTTTTGTTGCGATAAAGAATATTGCACAGCAAGTAAAACCAACAAAATTACCTATTTGTTTAAAAATGAATCGATTTGAAAATCATACGCTATGCAAAATATGCGTGAAATTGTCTGATGTAATGATCAATCATTGCACCATGACTTACTTACTCGAATTAATAGAGGATTGTGGCTCCAACTTGAAAAACGAAAATTTGTTCCGAATTGTCCACGAATATTTGCACCTAAACTACGCAAAATTCAAAGTACTGAATGGGAAAAAGGTGAATAAATTAGTGTCTAAATATTATATATATTTTATTAGACATAGACACATAATTCAAAGCATTCAAAGTCCTGCATTTTCGCCATTAAGAAGAAAAGAAGTGGCCGAAGAATATAGAAAACACCTTAGCATTGTAACTAAAATGTATCAAAACTAAACCTATTATGTGAACAAATAAAAACCAGTCTGTCAAAAATGGTCTGTTATTGTAAACGTCAAAAAATTTCCAGTATAATTCGCTGTTGGGTACCCCACGAGAAAAAAATTTCCACTAAAATACCTCCGTTGCCATGGTGATCTGTCAAAAACGCGTATTTTGATTGGTTCAGAATTACAGGTGTGGAATTTTCCGGTTAATCGGCCCTATCATACCGAGCCAGTCGAAACGGACCGGTTAGACCGGATTCGGAGGTTTAACCGTAACCGTGACCAGTTAAACCCGTCACTGGTTTATCCGTTACTGGTTTAACTATAACCATCACCGGCTTAATCGTGGCAAAACAAATCCACCAAATCCTTTGTTTTCAATAGAAATGGGGTCGCTTTACTAACCATTTCACCTTTCCTTACCTGTGACAACCAGTCAGTGCATGCTTAATTTTTAAAAATAGGCCCTCACTAAATAAAAATTAAATTAGAATAATAGAAATACTACCAATTTTACTTTTGCTAATCTATATTTAAAATTTAAAAAAGGACATAGTCACTCGCTTCCCACTGGGCGGGTAAGTAGGTAAAACTAAAAAACAAAAACATAAACTATATTCAAGTAAAAAAAAACATTCAAAAATAAATTATAATTAACATACTGGCTAACCGACCGCCGGCGGTGCTTGCAGTTGTTAAAAAGAAAACGGTCTTCCGGCGCGGCGGCGTGGTCTTCTCACATATAAGAAAGCCGTCGCAAATCTAAACTGATTTGTTGATCAGGACGGCATGCTATCAGGGAATTGAAAAATGCCGCCGGACGACGGTCTACTGATTTAAAACATTGAATGCCGGTGGTATGAAAAAATCCTTGTAAAATCGTCTACATTTTTGTGGGAAATGAGCATATGTCGTACGCGTTTTATTTGTACATCGGTCTCCTTTTGACAGAGTAGATGAGCTGTGTCCAGGCCGTTGGTGTTTATGCCGGTCGGCGTAACCAGGTATGGATTGAAATTTTATGGTGGCGGCGAAGCCGCCACCCTACGATAAGTCGTTACTTCGTCTTCTTGTTGTCACGGCATTATTATTATTATTTGTTCATGTATGTGAAATTTGCTTTTAAGGTTTATAAAATACTACTGCTAGTCACGGCGTAAATGAAAACAAACAAGACGCATTCACACAAACACCTCCCACCACAGCAATTACAAATGATTAGTGTTGTCACCGATACGCGAGTTTTTTCCGGCGGCATTTAATGTTTTAAATACAGTAGACCGTCGTCCGGCGGCTTTATCAATACTCTGATAGCCTGCCGCCCTCATCAACAAATCAGTTTAGATTTTCGGCGGCTTTCTTATATGTGAGAAGACCATGCCGCCAGAAGACGGTTTTCGTTTTACTAAATTCAACTACCGCCGGCGGTCGGCTAGCCAGTAGGTACCTATAATTAATTGGGACATAAAATAAGAAATAATAACAAAACTGAGTTTTGATGCAAAAAATCAACTTATTAACGTTTTCCAACAGCAAGCAGTTTCTTTTTGCCGAAACTATGTTTCCTGCACTGGAAAACACCCGTTCACTGGAAGTTGATGTGGCTGGTACACATAAATACGGTTATAAACCGGTGCCCGGTTAAACCGGTTCTGGTTAAACCGATTACAGTTAAACCGGTTACTTTCTTTAACGGTTTTTGGTCCTACGGAACCGGTTAACCGGTCACGGTTACCAGCCTTAGTGGATAGGTCGCAGAGGAACACAGCCATGACCGCCTAGGTCTTCCGACCTTAACAGTTTTTTCTGGGGGCATCTGAAAAGCTTAGTTCTACGCAGTGCCGATTCAAACTGATGAAGAGTTACGAAATTGTATAAATAGTACCAAACGATAAGAGACACACCAGGAATCTTTGAAAATGCGAAGAAGATTAGATGCTTCCAACAATTACTGTAAATAATTTGAGTTTTTATTTTTTTTTGTATTTTGTTGTCATTTCGCTTTATATTTAAAATTTTGAAATTATCGTTTCATTATTTTTAAAATAGAATTTAAAAAATCAGAGGCGTAACGTGGACGTCACTGGTGGAAGTATACAATTAATTTTTGTCCCTAAAAAGTGTTTCCACGCATGTTGGATGCCTACCTAATTTCAACGAAACATCAAAACCAGTTTCAACGAACTGTGCGTCGTACGAAAGTAAGTCTATGGACCAAATTTGCTCCAAAATAAATGAGGATTTCAAAAATAATTTTTCTTTTTAGAGAAAGCAGTGGCGTACTGTTTGTTTCTTCAAAAATATTCAGTTCAAGTCTCGTACGAACATCACTGGTAAAAATTAAAAAAATCTTTTACGTCAAAAAGTGCTCCTTAATGATTAAAAGATGTGAACATTTCATAAAAATATCTGGAGTGATAAGAAAAAGATTTTTTCTTATCTATCGTAGCTTAAAAATTAAAAGGTTTACGATATATGCTGATATTAACTTTTCTTCTTAAAATCACACAAGGATTCACACTCTTAAGCACCGGCACTTAATTATTAAACACCCTTTATAGAGTTGTTCTGTGTTTGGATGTAATAAAAATACATGTATTTCTAGTTACTTGGTTATGACATTGAGCTATGTTTTTTGAAAATATACAAAAAGATTTAAAGTAAATTTAACCACAGTTTCTGGGGTCGAAAAAAAGACAATTTAAGCGAACTTGCTTTTATAAAAAATGATTGTAAAAAGTTACAGGGTGTTAAGGTAGACATTTTAGAAGTGATTTTGTGATTGTACTCAAAAACGGCTTGACATATTTTTATGAAAATGTACATGGGATATTACTATATAGTTACCAATAAAATGGAGTTAATGACGTTTATAATTGTTTTAATTTTTAGACAATGCCATTCAGTTAAAAACAGAACGCCACTGAAATGTTACATTACTATTTGTAATAGCCTTAATTACTGAGTTATAGACCCAAGAAAAATGATCATACTCAAAAATTCAATGAAGTTTTTCTATTCATCTTAACTTAAACCACTGAATATTGGTTCACAATTTTTTTTTACTATTTATAAATTCATTTACAATTTATTCCCTTGTATTATCGATAATCAAAATGCCTGTAGAAGTTAACAACACTATTTTTGACAATTAAAAAATTCTTTTCCATTTTTCATAAGTACATTTGTATTCTATATAGGTACCTACGTAACATGAAATTTGAGACAACTAATTTATTGATCTAACAAATGTGTAATTATGACTCATTGATCTATTTTATTTTTTTTTCTAATCTGATTACAACGAATGAAAACTATCGCGCGTAAGACTTCAAATCAGTTTTTATGTCACTAAAAAACAGTATAACTCTTGTAAGCTTGGAAAAATGGTTGAAGATATAAACAATCGACGGTATAATTTTTCGAATAAAATGCTTTTGACGGAGTTTTGTAAGTTGACCATTTTTATGCATCAGAAATTTTATTTTTTACTGTTTTATTAATAATAACATAGTTTTGAGACATTATAGAATTGTGTAGTACTTATTTAATAATAATAATAATAATCAAACTCCCCAATTCACCCTCTTACGAGAGAAAATAAAAAATAAAATATTTATAAGATATACTTTACAAAATAAATAATAAAATTAATTTTATTTTGTAGGAGAAGCGAAAAGACAATTTGTGCTACGGTTTCTGTGCAGCAATTCAATATTTTAAATGCGAACCTGGGTACGGAGTTTTTACAACAATCGAGAGAGTTATTCCAATGAGTTACAGTTCAATTTGTAACGGTTCCATTCCAAAATCTCAACCTTCAGATCTGGATATTTATTCAGAAAAGAACATGCAGAGCATGATGAATAATATGAATGAAGAAAAACCTAAGTACGAAGAAATCGTAACGAAATACGGTGAATATCCAACGAAAAAATTTTCTACTAACAAGAGTACAGGAAATACATATTTGCGAAATTCCTTGTCTTTGCAAAATATGTTAGATTTGAATAACGCAACTATCAATACCAACAATGATTTTGACCAGAATAGTGTAATTCAACCAGAAAAAACTATTTTAATGAAAAAACCCAAAAGTAACGTTGAATCAGATCTCATTGATGTCATTGGTGGAAAATGGTCGGGAAGCACAGATAGAAAACAATTGGAAGATTTTTCCAAGTCAATGAAAAGACTGGACAAAAACGATAATATCAAAGAAAAGCATACTGTAATAGAAAATAATACGTTAAGTAGACGAAACAAAAGTGTGAATCTCCTCCATCATATCATCGATGGTAGTGGTACTCTGAAAAAGAATTCAAAGTTTTATACAAATAATGTTTTAGATGACAAAGAAGAGCATAAAACAACTACGTTGAAAATTAAAAGTAAGTGCAATTTGTTATATAATAAAACCTCAGATAAATATAAATAATAGATATGCAATATTTGTAACCAGCATCTTCCACTCCTGTGTACCAGTGGTTGCACGACTTGATTGGATATTCGTTATTTTGGTTAGGCTATTTGATTGGTTAGCAAAAAATTGACAGTAATACAGTTAGTTATGTTATGGTTATTTTGTACTGACATCGTTTATTTTGTATTTTACTTGAAAACTTTTTGAGGTTTAATTAGTTTTGGTTCAATTAATTGCTTTAAAATGCCAATGAAGTGTGTTCTGTGCTCGAGAAAGTATCTCAAGTTCAGTTCGATAAGGTTTCATAAGTAAGAAAGGAGGGGTTTCTGTTATTTTAAAAAAATTTAAAAATTTTTTAAACTGTAATTGTCCCCAAGTTTTATTAAATTTTGACTACACCTGAAGATAAAAAAAATGTTTCCGAAACATATATGTAGTGCTGTGCTAAAATAAAAACATGACCGAATAAACTTAGAAAATTTTTATTTATATAAAATGTATTTTAAAGTTTAAAATAACATTGAATTGCGAATGATTGTATTGTGCCTGTGTTTAATAACTTTGAATTTATCAATTAAGATTATATTGTTATGAATACTGTACATTTAAGAAGGCTCTAGTGGCATTCCAGTTTGTTATAAATATTTAGTATTGCTTTATTTTCATGGGTAAAATATATCAGTGTATCATCTATATATATAAAATTGTTTGTCCTGACTGACTGACTGATTGACTGACTGACCTATCAGCGTACAGCCAAAACTACTGAGCCTAGAAAGCTGAAATTTGGAACATAGGTTTGTTTTATAACGTAAGCATCCGCTAAGAAAGGATTTTTGGAAATTTTAACTTTAAAGGGGGGAAATGGGGGGAGGGAGCTTTTAATGAAACTCTTTGTTCTTTAAAGTTAGAAACATGAAAATTTAAATTACAGCTATTGAGCATAAATAAATAATGACGTGTTTCAGGGTTTTTGGATTTTTTACATTTTAAGGGGGGGAAAAAGGGGGGGGGGGGAAAGTTTGCAAGGGACTATCGATTTTTTTGTTCTCTATGAAGTTAGAAACATGAAAATTGGAATTGCAGCTACTGACTACAAATTATTAATGACATGTTTCAGGTTTTTTGGAATTTCACGTTTTAAGGGGGGAAACGGGGGGTGAAAATTTATTTGGGAGTATCCATGTTTTTGGTTCTCTTTAAAGTTAAAAACATGAAAATTGGAATTCCAGCTACTGAGTACAAATTAATAATAATGTGTTTTAGGGTTTTTATATTTTTACATCTTGAGGGGGGCAAACGTAAAATTTTATATGGGAGTATAACTTTGTTTGTTCTCTTTGAAGTTAGAAACATGAAAATTGGAATTGCAGCTAATGAGTACAAATTAATAATGACGAGTTTTAGGGTTTTTGGATTTTCACATTTTAAGGGGGGGAAACGGGGGGGGGTGAAAGTTTATTTGAAAATATCGATTTTTTTGATTGAAAATTGTAATTGTAGGTTCTCATCATAAATAAATTATGAAGTGTTTCATGGTTGTTGGATTTTCACATTTTAAGGGGGGAAAACGGGGGTAAAAATTAATAAAAATTAATAAAAATTAATAAAAATTAATAAAAATTAATAAAAATTAATAAAAATTAATAAAAATTAATAAAAATTAATAAAAATTAATAAAAATTAATAAAAATTAATAAAAATTAATAAAAATTAATAAAAATTAATAAAAATTAATAAAAATTAATAAAAATTATTAAAAATTAATAAAAATTAATAAACATGAATAAATATAAAAAAAATGAATGAAAATCAATAAAACTAATAAAAATTAATAAAAAAGGAAGTCATGTATTTTTTTATATTAATAACACGACTATATGCGAACAAAGTCGCGGGCAATAGCTAGTCTGCAAATAAGTGTATTGAGCATTTTTGGACTACATCAGCAATGCCATTAATATAAATTAAAAACAGTAGTGGACCTAGAACACTTCCCTGTGGCACCACCAAAATATTCTTTATATTATCTGAAACACAATTACTTACCTTAACCTTCTGTTTCCTATTTTTTATATAATGACCCAACCAGTCCAGTGCACAACCTTCCAAACCAATAGCTTTTAATTTCATTAATAATCTACCCGTATCAATAGTCTCAAATGCCCTCTGTAAATCTAAAAACACTTCCAGTCATGCAACACCAACTGTAAAGCAGTTTCAGAGTTGTGTTTACTACGGAATCCTGATCGCACATTTCTTATCAAACTGTTCCTCTCTAAATAATCAATAATTTGAAGATATACTACTTTAAAGTATATTATGTTGCATTCTGTGTTAAATGAAATCCTAACTGTTTATATGAACAAGAAAACACTATACCTATTAAGGTTTCCAAACGATCCTCATTCCTCAACCTAGGGATATGTGGATGAAGAACTTGGGTATTCATGAGGATGAAGTAAGTGAATTTAGTCGAATTTGCTCTAAACATTTTGAAGATTTTGATTTTGCTAAGTCTCCAGGTAGAAAAATGTTTTTAATGAAAGGATTACTGGCCTCATTTTACTCACCTTCTGAAGCCGGGATCGGACAACTCGCCGCCGTCGACTCGCCACCGTCATCTCGCCGCGGGGACAACTCGCCACCGCCGACTCGCCGCCATCATCTTGCCGCGGAAATAATTTCCACCGACGAAATAGTCGCTATAAAGATGGGGAATAGTAGCTTATAATGAATATTGACTAATAATTGAGTAGCCCATATGCAAAACCCGCTATATGCTTCATAACTGAATTTTGGATAATAACGAAAAACCTATTACTAAATAAAAATAAGACACAGAAAATGTTTTGATGATTGAAAAAATTAAAAATAATTATTCTAAATCGTAGGAATAGTTGCGTATAATCCTATAAATTGCCTAATTAAGTTATTTAGGTTTATATTTACTATATAGCGTGTTTTGCAACTGTATTATGTATATAGCAGGTTTTGCAAGACATAGAGACCGCTATATTGGCTTTTAATAGCTTTCAAAACCCGCTATTTTCTATTCGGGATGATTATTATTACTATTAATAATAATATTTTTATTATATTAATAATATTTTTATTATATTAATAATATTTTTATTATATTATTAATATTTTTTCATTATTTTCCAAATAGATATTAAAAAACATAAATAGTTAAAGGAATAATTTTTTTTTGTGTGGGTCATCGGGTTCAACTACTATGATGGTCATTTCGCCTTGTGTTCTGTTTGGGCGTTGAAACTGTTTCCCAGCGCCACTTTAATGATATTTCGACCGTCGTAGTTATTTACAATCAACAAAATTCTCTCATCTGCATCTTTATAGCGTTTTAATTTTTGTGGTGGATTATGCCCAGCAATTAATTGTTCATAAAATAAATCTCGTCCATGTTGTATAGTTTTTAGCGCATTTATGAACTTCCAGATTGTCGGATGATTCACGCCCAGTTCAACTTGTAGTCGACGATGAGCGGCTTCAGCGAAGTTGTTGGTTCTGTCTTGGGAATTTATGGTTCTACTGTAGACGTTCCATGTTTCTGGTGCAAATAATGGACGACGACGTCCTTGACCTCGTCTGTTAGGACGTCCAACGTAATTATCCTCTAACCAGTCTAAAAGTGGACGGGGGTCTTCTGGAATAACATCTCCAAGAACATCAATTGCTTCATCAATATCTTGAACTGGTACAAATGCAAGTGCAGTTATCATTCGAGCAAATAGGGCAAATTCCGCATTTGTGTTGTAGTTATTAATTTGACCCAACGAACACAGATGTTTTTTCATATTCTGCGCCAAGTAGAAGAAGCATTCGTGTATCTGCGCGTTTGGAAACACTTCTGAAACACTTTTCAAAATGGCTGCCTCAAAATCGCATGAAATTGAATTAGGTTGTAGTTCGGGTTGTAGATTCTTAATCGCACGAAATAGCTTTTCGTATGTAGCACGCTGCTTGTTGGGTAGTAATGCATAAAACATTGGATGTACTCCACCATGCTTCTTAACGAGTATGACAAACACTTGGCAAAATAAGGGAGGCGATATTTTGAAAGTGCCATCCATGAAAAAGTTTTCGCAATCTTTAAAAGTGCGCAAATTTTCTTCCTTACCAAAAATTAAAATTATATCATGTTCTGGGCCACTATCGAATAGTAAAAAATTTTCTTCAGTCCCTCCAGCCATTTTAATAATTTTATATCCGTCCGGGATTACTAGCGTTGTTAAATCGCTTGGATTAGGCGGGGCGGAGATAACTTCGTTGTGTACTCTTCTCACAATTCTCTTCAGAGCATCTTGCTTAGGTAAAGCACCTTGGCAAACGAGTGTCAAATTTTCGGTACAAGAATTGATTACTTGTGACGTGCTTTCTAAAGTCGATCCAGCTCGTCGCTTGATATTACCCACAACATTATCAGCTTCGATTTTATCTGCATTTGCCTCATGAGAGTGGTCATTAACCACATGAACGACATTTCCTTCTCGAACATGAATTCTGCCTTTGCACTGTCCTCTTCGTTCGCATCGCCAGAATTCCGTATAACCATCTTTCGATACCTTATCTAACACATACATGAAACCTCCACTCGCGAACTTAGTTTTGTTGCGCTGCGATATTATATTTGTTGCATCCATGGCTCATTGTTTCTATACAAAAAATCTGCTAATACTAAAATTTTCTACCTGTTTATCTTGTATATATATAAAAGAAATTGACAATTGCTACTTAATTGCTACCATTAATTGTTAAATTTTATCTTCGTAAAAACTTATCAAAATCCAATTACAGCAAATTAACTGGTATCATTTCTACATAATACAATAAATAACCTAGTTATTAAGAAAGCTTAATATTGTATCATTTAAAAGACACTAGTTCAAATCAATTATCTTTTATACCATTTTCTACCTGTTTATCTTGTTAATATTTAAAAGAAATTGACAATTGCTACTTAATTGCTACCATTAATGAATTTTATCTTCGTAAAAACTAATCAAAATCCAATTACAGCAAATTATCTGTTTAAATATGGTATCATTTCTACATTATACAATAAATAATCTAGTTATTAAGAAAGCTTAATATTGTATCATTTAAAAGACACTAGTTCAAATCAATTATCTTTTATAAAATTTTCTACCTGTTTATCTTGTTAATATTTAAAAGAAATTGACAATTGCTACTTAATTGCTACCATTAATTGTTAAATTGTATCTTCGTAAAAACTTACATCTAAAACCATTTAACATAACAATAGAATAAAGTTTTGAGAGAATTTTTTTAAATACTTTATGGAGCGGGCGGCGAGTTATCTCAGCGGCAAGTCGGCGATGGCGAGTTGTCCCCGCGGCGAGATGGCGGTGGCGAGTCGACGGCGGCGAGCTGTCCTAGACCGTTCGGAAGCTGTTCCTCAACTTAAAACTACGTTAAAACTTAATCTTTTTGTTTCACAGTGTGTTATTTAATTATTAACAATATTAATGTGAAAAGTACAGTTTGTGCACTTGTTAAACCTTAATCCTTTAGCTTGCTCCATGCTAAAGTTGACTGTGGTTTCAGAAACTGATGACGTAGCAACATTAACATTAAATACTAAGTTGTTTAAATTATTATAGCTAAGGTTAGTTACTTCATAACATGAAGAATTGCCAATAAGGTTGCTAACTTGCGTGGAAATAGAAGGGGAGTTATCTTCTATTACATTCGCATTTGAAATATTTTATGATGTGCAAGGGATATTATCATCCATTAATATTAAATTAGATACATTATTTCTTTTACTTAAAGTAGATTCTACGTACCCCTCTGCGACGGTGGCTCCCATGTTTTTTAACTGTTAGAAGTTCATCTCCAGAATTTGCCAACATTGTTGCTGATGACCTCTTAAAACAATTTTTTTTCTTGTAGTTCTTGGGTTTTTAGGTGTTAGTTGAGGAATGAAATTCGTGTTAAGGTAAAGCTTTCGGCACTGCTCAGTGCCTTCTTCAGTAGTTTTTTAATTTTTTAATATTTGTACATTATTAACCGTTAATTGTTCTTTAGTACATTATGGGGTGTGTATATATATAGTTAAATGTTTTCCGGTTAATAATGTACAAATATTAAAAAATTAAAAAAACTACTGAACAAGGCACTGAGTAGTGCCGAAAGCTTTACCTTAACACGAATTTCATTCCACAACCAACACCTAAAAACCCAAGAACTACAAGAAAAAATATAAATAAAGGTGTAAGAAAAAAAAAACTTTAGAAAAGGAGGTCTCCTTTTATAAAGTACCAATCTTAAAAAAATGTCCAATATACATAGTCGAATTAGGCAATTGAAGATAATTTGCTATAATAGATGGCATTTTGCCAAATGTACAGGGTGGGGCATAATGGAGAGGCGTTTTTAGATCGGCTAGTAAACGCGAACGAGTGGGAGTAGAGAGCCGCGGTTGACATCGGCGGATTCAGAAAAGCTTACCATTTGTTATTCACAATGGTTATCTGGACAAGAGAGCATCGCGTGTTCGCAGTTAAGGAGTATTTAAAATCGGGCGAGTCCGTTATTGTTGCGCAGCGATAACGCTTCAATATCGGTCGTAACGTTCAGTTCCTACCATGAGCTTATAGGGGTGAAAGGGAAGGTCTTGGTGTAAAATCCTGTGAAGTGTTCGATTACTCATTCAAACTGCTGCAGCCCGTTTTCGGATAGAACGCTGTTTGTCTCACCCTTTTTACGGAAGCTGGTGTCCTTACACTTTGGGGACGACCTTTAGGTTTTGGATTAATTGCTAATGCCGTCGTTCTAAAATTCTGTACCCATCTGTTGTTTGTGTCACGTTTAGAAACTGAACCGTTACGACCGATATTGAAGCGTTGTCGCTGCACAACAATAACGGACTCGCCCGATTTTAAATACTTCTCAACTGCGAACACGCAATGCTTTCTTGTCCAGATAACCATTGTGAATAACAAATGGTAAGCTTTCCTGAATCCAACGATGTCAACCGCAGCTCTCTACCCCCACCCGTTCGCCTTTAGTATGCCTACTGGCGGTTTGGTGCACTTATTGTTTCCATATTTCAAAAAGAATCTAGAAGATGTCATCATAGGAGGTCTTAAGGCAATATATTTTTTTAATATAAGATAAATAATCAATTTTTGAATTGGTGGGATTTAAATTAGTAAAAATTCTTTCCGTCCCATTTTTAGTTTCAGGAATTCAATAATAACTACTATTTCTTTGTCTTCGATATCATCATATTTTAAATTTGTCAATTCATCTCTTCGGCATGTGCCGGAAATGCCAATTATAAATGCCACCTGGAAAAAAACAATATTGATGTAATGACTGATGACTTTATTACTTCAGCAAAAAAAGTTTCCTTGGCGCGAATTTGAACCCGGGATCTTCGTCACCGGAGACAAGCATTTTACCACTGCGCCACTATAACTCTTTGTTATATTTATATTTGTAATTTTTCCAAAAAAATGAGTGCTAAATTACAACACTACCAGTTTCAGTTTTTATTATAAAAATTATATAAATACTTTATAATTTAAATATACTTATAATAATTATTGTAAATTTACTTTAATCATTAGAAAAGTTGAATCAGGAACCTTTTTGAGAAAAGTTATTAAGTGATCTTTTTCGAAAATGTTTGATTTTTTAGCCTTGTACCCCTTGCTCTTGTTTTTTTTTACAAAACTAATTAATTTATAATGTTTTGATATGTCAATATTATTTTTGATTTTTGAAGTTGTTTTTAACATAGAAAATATCGACCATGTTGTGGGTGGATTCACTTGAAAAATATGCCACCAGGACATTCTCAGAATATTTGGTAATTTTATTTCTTTTACACCATTCCATAAAGAAATTATATTTCGACTCATAAATGTTGGCTGATATTTGGGGCAATAAATCTTTCGAAACATTTTGTGCTGCATTCAATATATTCGGTGGAGTATTTTCTAAATAATCATCAGAATTAGATGAATTCATTGTTAAAATGAAGTTTGTATGACTGCTTGTTTTGTTTTCTGAAGAAAATATCTACAATAATATCATAATAATTACCCAAATATTAAATAGATATATTTTTACTTACCTTATTTCAGTTTAAATGTCGAATAGAATACAGAAATTTAAGAAATATCTCAAAACACGTACTAAATGTCAGTCAATCACAGCCAACTTAGCAAAATTGTTAGAAATCTTTAATTAAATTTTTTTTAACTTTTATTATTATTTAATTTAATATTATGTTCACTAATAGGTATTTGCTGAATTCAAATTAGTTTTGATGTATGATTAAACCAAAAAAATAAAGCAACTAATTTATAATATTTTTGAATATTGATATTGTTCTTGATTTTTAAAGTTAAAATGTCAAATTTAATAAAGAAGTGTCAGTCATCCATAGCCAACTTAGCTGGATCGTTAGGAACTTAAATAATTCTCGTCAACAGGTAATAAGATTCCACAATAGTTTTAATTAATATAATATTTAAACTGGATTAAAATAACTATAAAAATATATGATTAAATTGAAAAAAATTAAATTAAATTAAATATTTAATATACTCATTATTATTTTTATAAGAACTGTCAATACTAAAACTTGTTGCTCTGTGGTCAATACACTCAAATTTGATAATTTTCTTTACGCATTCAGTGCGTAAATAAAAACTCTTTACGCACTAGTGCGTGAAGTAAAGTTTTACGAACTCCGTAATGTGAAAAATGATAATACTTTAAGAACGGTAGTAGAAAAAAATTTTTTTTTTTATTAAATCTGTAGCTCAAAAATTAAGAGTTTTACGACATAAGTTGATATTGACTTTTCGTCTTAAAATCACCCAAAGATGCACACCCTTAAGTATCGGCACTTATTGAATAAACACCCTGTATAAATAGAATTTTGTTATAAATAACCTCTGTACACTTTATCCGAAAAATATATACATATTTATTACATTCTAATAATATAAATTATTTTTATTTCAACAACTTACCCTGTGTTTTGTTACAGTTATACACTACCATTGTTTTAACATATTTTTTTATATCTTTGAAAAATGTATGTCAAATATTAATAGTTATTCTACGTCGTAAATAGATTTACGGTAACATTCTAAAAATAATTCTATAAATATAAATTCGTTATTCGCAAATTTTTTCCTTAAAACAAATACATACCTGATTTTAATTAATTTGATCATGTTTACTTTTACATCTAATAATTATGAAATGTTTATTGAACATAAAATCCACCTCCACAAATTTTCCAACTTTAGCACAACGTTCTAAAAATATCTTGTGATGCTTAGTCAGGTCGCTAGACCCCAGACTTTCTACATTTCTATATTTACTAGCCAGTTTGTGATCGGTGATTATAGAATCAATGTCCAATCGAACGAAAAAATGTGTTGTACGTTTAAACTTTTTAAAAGTTCGTACCTTAGTACTTTAAATTAATTAAAAATAATGTCAATAAGTCAGAGAAAACATTCTCGTTTGTCACTTAAAATTAGCCGAAAATCTCCGAATATAATGAAGTTAAAAAAATTGAATTGCGCTGTTTATGCTAACACTTCTTATGACGAGGACGATGTTAATAATATTCCACTATCTGTCTTAGAAATTAATGAAAAAAGTGAACCGGCCAAGCCAACATCTACTTTCTATATAAACGAAACTCCAACATACCATGACGCCCCGACTGGCTCAACAAATGACTTAGTGATTGGGTCCTTAGTGGAAGTCTTAAACGATGTTAGTGAAGAACCCATGTATGGTGTTGTTAGGTGGATGGGTGTAGAGAGTGGCACTAATTTCGTGTTAGTCGGAGTCGAATTAGAAGAGGAGCAATCTCATTTACCTTTAATTTTAACTGATGGTACACATAAAGGGGAGAGATTATTTCAATGCGCTGAAAATAGGGCGATGTTTGTGCCGATAGATCAGTGTCATAAGGATTCTAGATTTCAAGATGCTCCACCTACGAAGGTTCATGAAGCTGCGTCTGCTGTGGAACACAATATGGTAAGAGAGGCTAGTTATTATTTTTAATAATTACTTTTAAAACAAGTCGTGTGTTAAACTATTGTGGCCACCCTTCATCATATTCCTTTGGGTTTTGTTCAAATCTGAAATTTTGTTTTACTCTAATTTCTATACTTTCTGTATTTGGCCTCTTTCCTCTAGTATTAGTAATTGTCTGTTAATGAATTTATAATTAATGTACTGATATATTGTACCTGGTACTGATTTTGTCAAAATTGACAAGAGTAAAGTACCCCCTGGAGACAATGGGGAGAAGAATAGTTTCACCTGGCAAAAAGGTAATGTAATGAGTATTACGTATGCAAAGTGTAAGCAATCTAGCGCGTTTTTTCTAGTACCTGGCACTAATTTTATCAAAATTGACTAGAATAAAGTACCCCTTAGAGGTGATGGGGGGGAATATGGTTTTACCTGGCAAAAAGGTAATGTAATAATTATATGTGAAAATCAACACAGTAAGGTAACCAACTGATGAATTGACGCTGTTCGTTACCTAAGTTGGTCATTATCTTTCTGTTCGTCGAAATAATTATTATTATTATTTCTTTTATTTAGCTAGTTTGCTGATATCACAATAATAATAATAATAATAATAATAATAATGATGTTTATTTTGCAAAAAAGTACATTCATTTATCAATAATATAGTATAGTAATTAGACAAATATAAACAAAAGACAGACAAGCCCATTAGAGCCACTACTGGCTGAGCATGGGCATTTATAGTTTATTAAAATAATCGTTTTTAATTTATTTTAACTAGAGTGTAGCACCTTATAAGTATATTATAAAGTTGTAATAGAATGATTGGAATATTACGTAAAAAAAGGGCTGATTGTAACAGTCGAAAAAAATAAGATAAACGTGTCTCAAACGCGCTTACCTTCTGTGCTGCATCATATGGCTCATCGGATGAAGTAGGTGGTAATATTAGTCCAGTAGCCAAGACCGGGCCCGGTTACACAATTTATATAACAACGTTTATTATACAGGATTTATAATAGCGGATTTAACGGCACATACACACCACAAAGCGTTCGTCGCGGCAATTTCTGTAGTACTCTTCGTCCAACGGCGTTTCACTTGTCTTACAGTCAGACGAAGCGCATGTGTGGGCCAAAGTTTTAAGTAAGCGATTTGAGACAAAGCGCGAATATTTAAATAATAAAATAGGAATTAATTCATTCTGGAACATTTCCTGCCCCGAAAAAATGTAAATAATACATTTTTAAACTGATTAGACAATTCCCCAAAATAAAAACTAAATATTAAAGCAAAAAAAAGGAAAGTTCAAATAATAGAATTAAACCAAAAAACAATTATAAAATACTACAGGTAGCATATAAAAAAAAAATTAATTATTAGGTAGTGGACACAGTTTTACCAATGGCCGTTTTAAAATAAAATTTTGTGTTTTTACCGTAGCTACTCTGGCTATGTTATCATTACCAAAATGCAGTTGAGTAACACGGCCTAACAACCATTTATTAGGAGGTAAATTATCGGTTTTAACCAAAACTAAAGTACCAAGTTTGGGGGTGTTAGCAGGGTCTAACCATTTGGCTCGCTGCTGTAGGGTATGCAAATATTCTTTATGCCAGCGACGCCAAATATCTTGATGGATGCGCTGTAACAATTGCCACCTAGAAAGGCGATTTAGGGGGACGTGTTCGAAACTGGGAACGGGAAATGCGGTTAAAGGTTCCATGGTCAAGAAATGACCGGGCGTTAAGGCGTTGATATCGTCGACATCATTAGATATGGCAACTAGTGGTCTAGAATTTAATATGGATTCTATAAGTGTCAGAACTGTATAGAATTCCTCAAATGTGAGAATTTGATCACCTACGACGCGGCGAAGGTGAGTTTTAACACTTTTAACGCCAGCTTCGGCTAGACCATTAAAGTGAGGAGCTCCGGCGGGGCTAGGAAACCATTGAATAGTTTCACTTGCGCTGGCCTGTTCCATAAGAGAAAGCAATTCGCGTTTTGCACCCATAAAATTTGTGCCACAATCACTGTATATCTGTGAGACTTTTCCACGCCTTGCAATAAATCTTTGTAGAGCGGCTAAAAATGTTGGTGTAGATAAATCACTGGCAAGTTCCAAATGTACAGCTTTGGTAGCCAAGCAGACAAAAATGCAGAGGTAAGCTTTGCAACTTTTTACTCCTCTGTGACGACTAATAGTTATATTAAATGGGCCTGCGAAATCAACAGCGGAGCGACCGAAAGGTTTTACCTCAGACACTCGAGACAGCGGCAAATTTCCCATTGGGGGTTGATAAGAGGTAGGAGATGTTTTCCAACAGCGTAAACATTTCGAAATCACTGAGTTAATGGCTCGTTTTGAGGATAGAACCCAAAACTGTTGAGCTAGTAAGAAGTGAGTACTTCTAAAGCTAGCATGAAAATACTTTTCATGAATGTGGCGAATGACGAGTGTAGTTAATAGACTTTGTCTAGGTAATAATATGGGGTGCTTAGATGAATAAGATATAGATGCATTATGCAGTCGACCTCCCACTCTAAGAATATTGTTATCATCTAAAAAAACATTCAACTTACGTAGAGGTTTAGAAAAACGTTTGGACTCAATTTCTTCCTGAAAGTGAGTATATTGAGTAGTTTTTACCAAAACAAGAAGGGCCGAATACAATTCGTCGGTGGAAAATATGCCACAATGTTTAGAAAGCGGGTGTTGACAATTGTAGATAAAGCGCAAGATGAAACTTAAAATATTTTGAATAGTAGTCAAAGAAGAATAATTTTCAAGCATAGAAATTACAAAACTCTCATTGTTATGATTGAGTAATGTTGAAAATAATATCATTTTACGTTGTTCTTCTTTGGGAAGCGTAACCTCATTAGCAGAAGATGGGAAGGTAGGCCAAGAACTTTCATCTTCGTAAAGAAATTCAGGACCGGTTAACCAATATTTATAGGTTAAGAAGTGGGAAGGAAGAGCCCCTCGCGAGGCTATATCTGCGGGGTTAATAGCAGTATTCACATACGACCAATTATCAGGAGAGAGATTTTCTTGAATGAAAGATACCCTGTGGGCGACATAAGTTTTCCAGCGATTGGGACATCCCTTTATCCAATGCAGTACGATTTGAGAATCGCACCACGCGCGAATTTTTATAAAGCTAATTTGGTTACAAAAATTCGTTTTAACATAAAGAATTAATTTAGTCAGCAGAACGGCTCCACAAAGCTCTAAGCGAGGGATAGTAAGTTTCTTGGTAGGTGCGACTTTAGATTTGGAACAAATAAATGATACTTGAACGGCATCTGTTTCGTCTTTAATACGAAAATATATTACACAACTATAGCCTCGTTCGCTAGAATCACAAAACCCATGAAGTTCGAATTGACAATAATTAGAATATGAAATTAACGTAGAATATTGACGAGGAATTTTTAAATCGGCAAGCAAAGGTAATTCTGACTGGTATTGTTCCCAAAGTTGAGTAATAGACTCATCTGGAACTACATCCCAATCTAACCCAGAACGCCATAATTTCTGAATTAAATGCTTGCAATAAAATGTGATAGGTGAAATAAAGCCTAACGGGTCATAAATTCTAGCAAGTTCAGAGAGAAGTGTGCGTTTTGTACAAGGTTTATTTTGGACAGGATTAACAAGAAAGAAGAATGCATCATCACAAGGATCCCACTGAAGACCTAAAACTTTTATAGAACTTTCATCAGAAAGCGAATTAAAATCGAGCGGTTGTTTAGCTAAATCAGAAGCGGGAAGAATTTTTAACAAATCAAGGTTATTACTTGACCATTTATGTAGTTGAAAGCCTCCTAATTTCATAAGAGAAACCAACTCAGAAACCAGCTGTTTGGCTAGTTTTAAACTAGAGCACGAGAAAACAAAATCATCAATATAGCAGTAATTTTCGATTGCATGTGCGGCTAGAGGAAATCTGTGTCCTTGGTCTTTCACTAATTGTTTGAGGATTCTTAACGCTAAAAATGGTGCACTACTAATTCCATATGTAACTCGAGTTAATCGATAATCCCGAACTGGTTGGGTTGGAGAAAATCTCCAAAGAATACGTTGATAATTGCAATCTTGCGAATTGACTAAAATCATTCGGTACATTTGTTTAATATCAGCACACACAGCAAAAGCATTAAGGCGAAAATATAACAAAATAGCACATATGTCCTGTTGTAACTTGGGTCCAACAAATAGACAATCATTAAGAGATTTCTGATTAGGTAAATGAGCAGAAGCGTTAAACACAACCCTTAATTTGGTTGAAATACTATGCGGCTTTACCACACAGTGGTGCGGAATATAATAAGCATTGGTTGAGGAAAGCGATTGACCAGAAATTAATTCCATATGGCCAAGGTCAAGAAATTCCTTTAAAAAAGCAGAATATTCTAAATACAAATTTTCATTCTTTAATAATCGGCGTTCCAGAGAATGAAAGCGAGATAAAGCAAGGTCACGAATACCAGCAAAAGGCGGAGGATCACTCTTAAAGGGCAGTGACACGCTATATCGACCATTAGTATAGGTATAAGAATCTAAAAACAATTTTTCACAAAGGTCATCATCACTAGAAAAGGTCGTAGTTTCGGGTATTTTTTCAACTTCCCAAAAATTGGTTAAAGTATTATTAAGTTCTCGAATACAAGAAGATTTGCAAAAAAACGTGGACATAACAGGACGAGGTATTGAAGAAGTTTTTCCCAAAATCACGTAACCAAAAATTGTATGAATGGCATCAGGTTCAGATATGGTTCCGGTAACATGTCCATTTAATAATAGTTTTGGAAAGACATCTGCCCCAAGTAACAGATCGACAGGACCTGGAGTAAAATATTTGGGATCAGCAAGCTTAAGATCTAAAAGATGAGACCAATTATGAATAGGTAATGTAGAATCAGGAAGGTTATCACATATTTGATTAACGATAATAGCATCTAGATATATTTTAGGTTCTGGCTGATTAAGGGGTTTGCACGTTACCCCTACACGAGCGGTGTCAAGGGTAGATGTCATCGAGTCTAAACCTCTAATATCTACGGAAAATTCGGTTTGGGCAAGATTTAGACGAGTAGCAGCTCGCTTGGAAATAAACGAGCTCATACTTCCTGAATCTAGTAAGCAACGATATGAGCGGTAAATTCCTCGATTATCAAGAACATCGATAAGGGCGGTAGCTAATAAAATTCGACTTGATTCTATTACTCCTTGAGCGGTAAGAATTTGATTTCCTAAAGTACTAGTACTGGTGAAATTTGGCAGAGACGTAGACGAAGTAGGAGGCAAGCGGTCCAAAGGGCGGTGATTTTGAGATATTTGCCGATCAAAATGCAACAAGCTATGATGTGATTTTGAAAAACAATATCTACAACCTTGAGTACTATTGCAAGACCTCAGGTCATGAGAACTACTCAAGCAATTATAGCACAAATGGTTAGATTTGCAGAAGGCATGTCTTTCAGAGGGCGACTTTGAAGCGAAATTCTGACATTTATAAAGCGAATGAGTTTCCTTGCAAAGAATACAATTAGAACTAGGCGATTTAGCGCCAGTATTCGTAAAAAACGAACGCGGACGTGGTGTGATAATCTTAGGTTTATTTTTTATATTTGAACTGGATGGCGAGTCCGAATCAATATTATCATAAGCTAAATATTGTTCGTTTAAGAATTTAATAAGACTTTTATAGCTAGGAACCTGACAAGAACGATGTTCAAGTTCGAAACGTAGTTTAGTTTCATTATCAAGTCGTTTAAGTAACATCATGGCTAGAATGAAATCCCAATGTTCAACCGGAAAACCTAAGATTTCTAGAGCGGCAATATTTTCTTTAAAAATATCAAGTAATTTTTCTAAAGCGTGCGGATTATTCGATTCAATTTTAGACGTGCTGTCAATCTCATTCCAATGAGCTTGTGCACATTTTCGTGGATTTGCATACCTCTCTTGTAAAGTATCATAAGCTAATTGATAATTATTAGAAGTTAAAGGCAAATGCCGAACTAAAGAATATGGTTTTCCATCCAAGCAAGAGAGTAAATAATCGAATTTTTCAATATTAGATAAATGAGGTTTTTCATGAACTAAATTATTAAAATGGTCTATAAATGAGCGAAAATTTCTATAATCGCCACTAAATTTCTTTAATTCAATCACCGGCAAACGAATATGAGATGAATTTGGATCTATATGAAAAAGTGTAGAATTATGCAAAGCAGTATTTTGATTAGCGTTTACTGGTTGAGTATCAGATTCAAATAATTCCGAAAATAATGCTTTAATCTTATAAAATTCTTCTAAAAACATTTCTTTGGTAGCATCTTCGCCCCCAGCATCTTCAGGGATAGCAAACAATGTGGCAAGAACATTATTATGATGTTTAAAAAAATCCTCTTTAAGACTATCAATATCTGCGCACCTTACTTTAAAGACATTTTTGAATGATTTATTACTATTCGCTTTATCAGCGAGCATACTAATTACGTTTATTTCATTTAAGCAAGAAGTTCTTAAAGTTTTATATTTAACAAGTTTTTCAACCATTGTAATAAATTAAATAAATCGAATCGCAAGCAAAACAAAATTAAAACCAAATTTATTTGTATCAGCTGATCAAAAGGCAATATTAATGTAGCGGCAGCGGTATCAAGCTCACCTCGATACGAAACACGGCGAAAAGGCGGGCGATTTTTCACAAATTTCAAAAATAACGAAATATACGGTAGCGGAGTAAACGACAAAGCGGTGATTGATAAACAGAGCGACAATTAGCGAAAAGGCGATAATAATAATAAATGAAGGCCACTTGAAGGCCGATTGATTGGAACCTGTGTACACTACCGATGTCGAACAACTTGAGCACGACTCGACTAAAAAAATGACCAATATGTCTACCTGATAAATTTTACAATTAACTCAATAAATTTAATACTTATTGAAATAATATAGAAATTAAGATATCAATAACAAAACAATTATTAAAATATCAATTAAAAAAAAAAAAACAGTTTAAATATAAAGAAAATACAATTAAAATATCAATAAAATCAATTTTAACAAAGAACACAATTTTGGTTTTAAACTTTAAAATTTCAAATAAAATATAAAAAAGAAATGAAAACCAATAGGTAAAACAAGAAGAAATATTAAAACATTTTTTTTGTAAGGCAATGTTCGATACTAATTCTTAACTTTATGATAAATTGTTACTCATCTTTTGTGATATTAGATCATACTGCAAACAATAATTCTATTGATTTAGTATCATAATGAATAAAAAAAAATTTAAATATAGATTTAATTAGACCTATCGAGTTTAATGTGCATATGTATGTTTTATACATTTCAGGTAGAAAGTTATAAATCTTTAGAGACATATGTAGATGTGAACGCTGACCTATGGTTTTTTTAAATAAGGGTATTTGGATACACCCTTTTTCCTTGTTTTTTGTTAAGTACTTGTGTTCAAGTCCTTTTAGTAAATGTTTATTTTTACAAAGAAAAACCACGGAGTTATAAGCATACAGTTTTCGTAGGTTTAAAACTCTTGCTTCTTGAAACAGTACTTCCGTCGGAAAAATATTTTTTTTGTCGTAAATAATTTTCAATATCTTCCTTTGAAGAATATTGACTGGATTTAAATATGTTTTCGCAGCAGCACCCCAACCTAGAATACCATACTGTATTCTGGACTCTACTAGTGCATGATATACCATCTTTAGGTGACTTATGTTTAGGATATTTTTCAAGTATCTAAATTTATATAGTAGACTTCGTAATATTCTAGAGACATTTTTAAAATGCATATTCCACAAGTGCGAGTCAATTGTAATACCTAGGTACTTGAGGCTACTTGAGCGACTTAACACAGTGTCATCAATGCTTATACAAATTTAGTAAAAATATACATACCCTACCAAAACCTAGATAATTTAGTTAAAACTAACTAAAATTCTATAGGTTGTTATGGAGAAATATTCATCAATTAACAAATCTGTCACTTTGACTTTAAATGTAGTTACAGACGTAGTTACTGATTTAATTTTCTCTGGAAGTGCGTTATATTGATTTAGACCTTTAAAAAATAGTGACATTTGTGTTGCACTCTTAACAACTGTTTCAATGTAAAAGTTATTTCTGTTCCGCGTTGGATAATTGTGCACATTAGAGTGATAATTAAGCTTCTCTTTTAGGTACATTGGAAGTAACCCGTGTTTGATTTTATAAATAAAAATTAACGCATTCTGTAATAAGAGACTTGATTGGCACCCACCTCAAAGTTTCAAGCATTAGATTAATGGAAGTATATTTTGAACAGGATAATATTCGCATAGCCCTATTCTGCAGCTTCTGTAGTCGGTTCAACTCATTTTGATTTAGTAAAAAAAGTATTGTAGAGCTATAATTAAAGTGAGGTAGTATTATATATAATACATTTAGTCTACTGTGATAAGCCAAATGAACTTCTAAATAGGAAATTTAACTTAAATGCAATAGTTTTGATAACAGTGTTGACATGATCTATGAATCTCATCTGCATGTCAATCATTACCCTTAAGTATTTGAATTTTTCTACTAACTGTATAGAATTTCCTACAATTGTTATGTTATATTGTTTATCAACAAACTGTGTATAGTTATAGTTGCTACTTATCAGCATACATTTTGTTATATTTGTGTTAATTTTCAACAAATTATTGCAACACCATTTATAAACATGTTGCAGTGTTTCATTAACAACTCTTACCAATTTATCTGAATCCTTACAAGAAAAATATATTAGGGCATCATCAGCAAACAGGTGAATGTCACATTGACCCTTGAAATCAACAATGTCATTGATATACACTAAAAACAACAGGGGACCCAATATACTTCCCTGCGGAACACCTCTGATATAATTCATTTCCTCTGACAAAATGTTATTTACTTTTAATTTTTGTTTCCTCTTACTTAGATAATCCACGCACCACTCCAATGCTTGCTCTACTATACCCATACTTTTCAATTTTTTTATCAAACGGTTTTGATCAACAGTGTCGAATGCCCTTTGAAGATCTATAAAAACTGCCAATGTTAGATAGTTTTTATCAAATTTATATTTCCAATCATATAAAACACACTGGATAGCTGATTCACAGTTATGTTTGCTTTTGAAGCCCGATTGTATTCTAGTAATAAGTTATTTTGTTCTAAAAAATTAACAATTTGTTCATAAACGACCTTTTCAATGATTTTTTCGATACAACTTAACATGCTAATAGGCTTTAAATCTGTAGCTTTATTTGCATTTTTTGTCTTTGAAACAGGCACTACCATAGCAATTTTTAAAGCATTAGGTATTTTGGAAATTTCTAATGATGATATTATCAAATTTAAAAGTGGTTCTGAGAGGTTGGAAAAACAGTTTTTTAAAATATTAATGTTAATATCATTTGTGCTATTTTTATTTTTCATTCCAAATTACCTATAATCCTGTGTATATCTAAGCTAAATAAATATATAAAGATCAACACGCTGTTCGTATAGAATAATATTTCAGATGTTAAAACAATTATCAAAAAGGGGTATTGTGGTGGGCAGTTACTGTGATATTTTTTCATAAACTATTTAATATTATGAAACAAACATATCTTTCTTTTAGGATTGTCCTGTGATACCTGGAGCGGTATCGCCTTTGTGCATGCCCACAGAGGAAGACGTAGAAGCAGTTTGCGGGAAGTATAGAGGAATACAAGGTCATCATAATTCTTGCTATTTAGATGTGACGCTGTTTTCAATGTTTACATACACTTCAGTGTTTGATAGTATACTATTTAGGCCTAAGGACTTTAACGATATAGATGATTATGAAGAGGTAAGTCCTATTTGTGATCTATACAATAAATAAATGGAGAGATGCAAAACTTTTCTGCAATGTAAAAATTAATTGTGATTTTTACGAATGCACGTCTTGGTGTCGAATGCAGTAGCAATAGGAAGAATCTTCGAATCATGAGCACTAATTTCCAGAAAGATGATTTATCGGGTAAAACAACACTGCATTCTTAGGAGAAGTTAATCCCACTGCTTCTGTGCGAAGAGAATTCTTTCGTCAACAAAATAACTGATAAATTTAATTTCTAGGTACAAAGGGTGTTGAGAGAAGAAATAGTAAACCCACTCAGGAAGAATCTTTTCGTGAGCGCAGACCACGTTATGAAATTGCGTCGACTCTTAGACAGATTAAGTAATATTTCGGGGCTAACCAGCGAAGAAAAAGATCCTGAAGAGTTCTTGAATTCACTGTTGGCTCAAATTTTGCGAGCCGAACCTTTCTTGAAATTGAGCTCTGGTCAAGAAACGTTTCATTATCAGTTATTTGTGGAAAAAAATGCGGACCTAACTTTGCCTAGTGTTCAGCATTTATTTGAACAAAGTTTTTTAACGAGTAATATTAAATTGAAAGAAGTGCCATCATGTCTGATTATACAGATGCCAAGGTTCGGGAAAAATTACAAGATGTATCCAAGAATACTACCTTCACAGCTGTTGGACGTTACTGATGTAATAGAAGGATGTAAGTAAAATAATATATTATTATACTGTGTATTTTGTGTATATGATTAGTTGTTCAGCATTTAAACATCTAGATACATTGTACCGCCCCCTCCATCAAACAAATTTAAAATACTACAGTTTGAAGCATCATAAAAGACAGTTCCAAATATAATTGAGTTGTAGATGTTAAACACGTTCTCTCGAAACCTAAAAATTTAGAATCGAGTTGTTTTTTTCATGATTCCTTTGTTTTCATTATAGGTGCTACTATTTGGTTTTGTCCTTAGTTGTGATAAATACCTTTTTTCTTCTGTTTTACTATTTGAGACTGTTTTCAGAGACAACTAATAAGACGGGTAACTCAATTCAATTTTGCTTTTCGCCAAGAATTAACTGGGCGATTGGACTGGAAGATGTAGCCGGTGGCGCTGCATACCTACCTTCTGCATTAATTGTGGCCCTTTTTGTAAGCAACCAGTCAATTCAAAGAATGGCGGGAAATTCAAATGTGTAGATTCAGTTTATCTAAATTTTGTATATAATAAAATGATTTTTTCTGATTTGATGCACTTGAAATGTGAATAAATAATTCACGATTACTACCACACCAAATCAGAAGAAAAAAATCATTTTATTAAACACATGCAAAAGAAATAAATTAGCATTAAAAATGAAAAGAAAACAAAGAATTATTTCAATATATTTATTATTAAAACAATAATAAACAAAACATTCACACAACAAAAGTTCTGCAATAAAACTGAAATGCGTAAAATACTTTACAGAATTTGTGGGAAAATAGTGCATCCTCGATATTTCATATTCACTGACCCACATATTAAACAAAATCCCGGCATTGTTCGTTTCTTCGGGTTTGTAAACAAATTTTCAACTACCTAATATAAAAACACTAAACTAATACATTTATAAACTAACTAATAATGAATGAAAAACAACCAAAAAACAAATTTACAAGGTAAATATAAATAAATATATAAGTAAAACGAAACGGGAAAATTGCAGTTAAATAAAATACGTCAGTCTGACTGACGTCAAAGTCAAAGTAAAATGCTCGTGCAGGAGTGCGTTTAGAAACCACGCACGGCGCGTCTGGACCCTATTCTAATGTATGTGTTGAGACGCGCCGTGCGGGGTTTCTAAACGCACTCCTGTGTAGGCATGCCAAACTTATTTTCTTCCTGTATTATTGGCCTTTTAGAATTCAGTAGTTAGCTAACCATAACTTTTTATTTTTGACCTTTGTACACAATCCTGTGATATATTTTTTAGTACACATCTTTATTATATATATTATATACAAAGAAATTAAAATTCCAATATAAGTAATAGTTATGGATAAATAAGATCATTACTTATATGTAAAGAAAAAACAAATATGAAAAATGTTCATAACGGCAACATTACTGGAACGTTACTAGCGACATCTACCCCATCTTTCATCTTATGAGAACGAAATAAGCCTACGATAGAGTCTGCCTGTGGATCCAAGGGTCCCAGGTTCGAATCCCACCGTTGGCCGGGTTTTTTTTTTATTTAATTTAATTATTTAAAATGTATCTACATGTTAATCAATTTTTGCTATGAAGTTAACCGTCTCGGGTTGTCTCTGCTGTTATCAACCGGCTTCAAAAAAGGGGATTTTTCAATTCGTCGGTATATATATTTTGTTTTTTTTTATGTATGTTCAGCAATAATTGTTTAATACGGTGTCCAATGTCAATGATTCTTTTTTGTTAGTAAGGGGATACCTCTGGGGTGATCCCGTATAAATTTAGTCAAAATTTAATAATTGGGTCCATTAGAAAATCCTTAAACTCTTCAGTTTTTATGTATGTTTAGCTCTTTACCACTTTGTCCGATTTCTAGGATTCTTTTTTTTTTAGTAAGGGGGTGCTTCAGGGGTGGTCCCATATAAATTTGGTTAAGATGTGGTGATGGCATCTGCACGATTTTTAAGTGGTTTTTTAAAATTACTTTTAAAACTAATGGTTTTGTTTCAATACTTGTAATTTATCTCTTAAAAAGTATTTATTTGTAAATGTCTGTAGACAGAATTAATTAAAAAAAAAAAAAAAAAAAGTAATAACTAATTTTTTCGTTTTTAGCTCCTAGGCAATGCATAGTCTGTGGTAAACTCGCGCGATACGAATGTCGAGAATGCTTCGATGATTGCAGCAACGGTGGTCTGGAAAATACAGCTTTTTGCTTGGAATGCTTGAAAACCGCTCACCGACATGATAAAAGGAAACATCATAAGCCTAGCAAACTCGATATTGTAAACGAATTTTTCACGATGCAAGACGTTTACAGACCTCCCAGATTATTTATGGAATTATTTGCTGTGATTTGTATAGAAACATCACATTATGTTGCATTTGTAAAATGCGGCGTGGGACATGAAGCACCTTGGTGCTTTTTTGATTCAATGGCTGATAGGTTAGGTAAGTGAGAAATATACGTAATACTTGTTTCTTTCTTTTTCTTTTACTCAATTATGGGTCAATCTTTTCACTTCTAAGTAAAGTTGAAAGTAACTACTTGCTGATTAAACTATAGGGCTAATGTTTGCTAATCTGTCAAGTAAATCTTCATGTAACTTTACTCAGAGGTGAAAAGATCGGCCCTAAATATAATTTTTGCTGTTTTATTTTATAATACTGCTTTTTTATCAGTTTATGAAGAAACAAAATACATATTATTATGTAATAACCTTTATTGCCCAACAAATATAAATTTCTCTACACAACAACCCAACAAATCATTAATAATATAGGTGACAAATATATGTGGATATTATGAAAAATAGTGAATTCAAAATAATTATAAAATATAACAAAAAAGAAAATTTCTAGCATAGCCATAATTGGTACAAACAAGTGCTTTTTTTTACCTATGTTTATAATCAACTGGATAAGAGAAGATATGTGGGTGCCCTTTTCTTCGACTTGTCAAAAGCCTTTGAAGCTATTGACATTGACATCATTATTCATAAAGTATCTATTCTGGGCTTTAGAGAAATGAAAAATTATATATTTGAAATAAACGACGTTGATCCCCAGGGATCAGTACTTGGACCATTAATTTACCTTTTATACATAAATGATATGCCACAATATCTTTCTGTCAGACATATTGCAATTTATACTGATGCTGACTCGCCAGAACAACTACAGAGCAATCTCAACACCATTGCCAATGAATTCACAAACTGGAATTCTTTAATTAATACAAATAAAACTGTATGCATGCAATTTTTCTCTAGAACCAGAATTACTACAGACTTTCTCTCAATTAAATGATGATGTTATTCCTTTGTCAAATAAGACTAAATTTCTTGGAATCTTTCTTGACAGCAATATGAGCTGGGAATCACATATTGATTTTGTATTAAAAAAATTAAAGAATATTTTGGTTAAAAGTCAGATTTTCAATGTATACTATGCATTGGTATGAGCCTGGTCCTGTGTAGATGTTCAATTTCTTATTGGAAAATGCAGTAGTTAAAAATAAATGAAGATGGTACCTAATTTGTGTAGAGTTTTAAAAATACAGATTAATATATTTGATTTCAATTTTGTAAAAACTGATTTATAATATTGTAGTCGTCATTATAAAAATTGACTGTAAGAAAATCAAGATGGTGCCATTAAATATTATTACATTATTTTATGTATTGATCCGCGTACTATTTAAATGTGCAGTAACATTTATTAAAATCCGATATACAGGGTGATATTCTAGCTAAGAAGAGCAATATAAAAAAAAATAAATTATGGTTTTGATTGACCTAAGAAAGTGTAACTTTTGTACAAAATTTTATCAAAATAACTCTAGCCGTTCAAACAAAATGGCCGATTGTAGTTCTGGCAAAAAATCATAAAACACCCTATATCTCAGAAACGAGTAAGATTAAAGGCTAAGTATAGGGGTCTTTTGAACGCAGCTAAGTGTACTCTACCTCCCATTAAGCTGTGTCCGTTTAAATCTGAAACACCTTGTATTATATTCATTATCAAGCTCTGCTTTCTGGGCATCTTATATAAGTCTGGCTTCTTGCCATATCTTTAACCCCTCTGTAAATAGTGTATATAGTTGTGTTGTAAATAAAAGTGTTAAGTAAAGTGCATCGTTTTCGTTTACACGCCATTTCAGGATCTACCAGCGAAGCCCTAACAATTGCAGTCCACTAATTATTGATTCAGATAATGTACCCCGCAATTACACATGACATTGAGGGTTGAGCTTAATAAAATATTTGTTCTAGATCTGTTACAATAAAAAGTTAATTAAAGTCTGTTATTATACCGGGGAACATTTAAATTAATTTTAGCCAAAATAACAGTCAATTAGTCAATTCGTAATTTTATATAAAGGCAAAGAATCTAGAATTCCCCGAAATTCATGTTAAAACTATTCAAAAGTAGCTGATAATTGATTTCTTTTGGAGGGTAAACACCATATACTTTGAAAGCTAAATATTTCAAAAATTGGTCTTGAACAGATTCAACTCTATTCATATGAATATTATATTAGGGATACTAGATAGATGAATAGTACTCAAGCTTAGTGCGGATGTATAAATAGTATAATGTTTTTAATACTCCAATGTTCCTGAACCCATGATAATTTCATATAACAAAACTATATATTTTGTTTGATCAGAAACCTTCATCGGAACCAAAGCAGGATAGCTGCTTTGGTTCCGATGCTCTTAAAAAAACACTTTTGAGGAATTGACTAAACTTATCTACTATTTCTAGAAGCTGAGTTGATTTATCTTTAAACAACATAGTACCCGGAGTACGTGAACTTTAATTTTTTGTATTAATATATGACCAAAACAAGCGAGCAACCGCTGTTAAATTATCTTGGAGTTTCCAAATGTAAAATTGATCAACGTACCTTATTTTTTGCTTTTTAACTTGTAATCAGATTAGTTTAAATTATTTGAAGAAACGTCTGTCATTTGTTTTTTTATGTTTTTGATAATAACGGAATCGAACCATGGAGGAAATTTACGTTTGTAATTCTTATAAGTTGGAACAAAACGGTCAAAAATTGAGTACAAAGTAATATAAAACTGATCTAAAGCATAATTTACATCTTTGTATAGCAATAAATAATCCCAGTCAATATTCATAAGAGCTTTCGTTTTGAATTTGGTTCAAACACATTGGGAACATTAAAAACATTAACGTGACAGAGAAGGATAATATGAATCCTCACTGACAATAAAAGTTACATTATGAGTTACATCACAATCTATATTAGAAAAAACAAGATTTAACAAGCGACCTGTCTTGTTTTTAACATTATTATATTGTACTTAATAATAAAATTTTTGCGAAATTGTTAATAACATCTCTATGACAGTAACAACCTTGAAAACCCACTTTTTTGAAACTTCTTTTTCAAATTATTTTCTATTTTTTATGTTTGTTTAATTTTTAATCATTTAATTTGTATTTTTTGGATAATCACAAATAATTTATAATTCTTAATATTAATTATTGTAGGTGAACGAAATGGTTTTAATATACCGGAAATGGTCGCGTGTCCTGACATCTCCAGATGGTTATCAGATGATACAATTTGCAAGCAACTCCATGAAGAATTCCCTGTTGACCGACATTTGCCTGAACATGCTCGACGATTGCTGTGCGATGCTTACATATGCATGTACCAAAGCCCCGATGTGATGATGTACAGATAAAGAGGTATTCAAAAATTACCCTTCCTCTTCATTTAATTTTTCTGTAATCTTTATATTTATTTTTACAAACCCTATTTTAAATTGAGGATAATGTATTTTTGATAAAATAAGCAGAGATAAATCATAATTGTCATATCCATATTAAAGCCTTAAAAGATAAAAAAAGAACTATTGTAGAGTATAAATTACATACTTATATTTATTCATGTATTAAAAGTTACGAAATGATAAAATTTAATACAATAAATTAAATAAATCGTTTCAAGTTTCAAAATAATTTACTCAGATATAAAGGTGTTATAATTATGCCCTTACCAACCAAAAATCTTTTTTCCTATCATTGAACGACATGATTTTATTTCTTTATACAAGTGAATTAAAAAGATATTTTTTTGTCAGTACCCAAATACATAGTGTTATCTATTTATGACTCAGTTTTTTATTTAAAAAAATGTATCGAAACAAATTAATGACTTCTTATTTCTATAATTTCTTTTAATTTTGATTTTTAATACGTTGTTAAGAGGAGATAAAAGATCCAAAATGTTTCCAAAGAACTCGATCATGTGCACACTGTTTGATTCCTCCCAATACCAAGTCTTCCGTTATTTTTTTTGTCTTCCAATCATTGACCATTCTTGTGCTACTAAGTTTATGGGATTCATCCAATCCTTTACCTTTTTCGATTTGTTTGCATCCAAAGGACTTAATTGATTATTGTTTCTAACCGCTAAATTAATTTGTAAATAATGATTAATAAATATTTGCATATCTGAAATTCTAGATTTTTGGATATTTATACTTTTACCTATGTACCCCTCAATTATAGTTTGTTTAATAACTACCGCATATCACAACCGTAGAATAAATCCGACTTTACATTTGTTTAAAAATGCATATTTTGATTTTGAGCACAAAATTTTTGCTTATTGTTTCTCGTTCCTTTTTAACAACGTTCACCAAATAAATGTACCTAACTTTTTCTATATTAAAGTATTTTAATTATTTTTTTAATGAATCTCTATGAGTTGACATTATTCCCATCATAAAATATTTAAAAATCTTTCCCATATTCTATTACTGCTCATTTTTAATCACACCTGCTATCTACTAAAGATTTATTTTAATTATTATAAATATAATTAAGCATTTTATATTTTTTAAATAAATTTATAGTTCTCAATCTTATGATCGTTACATAAGTTGCATTTCACTAATGACTAAAAGCATTGCCTTAATTTAAAATGACTTGGGACACAAACTTTTTTCTTTAAATACTATACGTTGTAAGAAAAATTAAAAATATACAATGTGTATCTTTTGACTGTTATGAAAATAGATTTAAATAAAATCAAGCTTGTAATATACTTTGTAAATCTTGTATGGATTCAATTTCTTGACCAGTATATTTGATATGCAATATCGCCCAAAATCCCGCTTTTCAAGACTTTATAGATATTAGAACCTATTTAAAAATAAATATTGACTATATCTAATTACAAAATTTAAAATATGTCATCTTATTATTATAATACTATTTACGATTTACTAGAAACACATTGTATGTTTAATAAATAAAATTCTGTTACATTTGTACCCTTTTGTTGTTGCTGACGAGCCTATATAAATTATTATTGTTACTTTATTTTTTTAGTAAAAATCATCTTGTGAATTTTTTAGAGTGATCAACTGTGATTTGTTAATTTATTTACTAATTTTACAGTTATTGTATTAAGTTTATTGTCATATCGACAATGATATTTTGAAGAAGTGTGTTTATTACGTAAAACACTTGTAGAACTTAGAAACTTTAATATTAAGAGCTATGTTGTAGAAAAAAAAAAAATGTTTATTTTAAGGATACGTTATCGATTTATTTTCTCAAACGAAAAATCTTTTATTGCTGTTGATATTCTAAAGTTGAATCAGTATTCTAATTGTTACTAATTGTAATAACAGTTTAATTAGGAAAAATTATTTCTAATTATGTATTAAAGTTTTTATCATGTTGTATATAGTTATTGTGTAAAATAAAGTTTATAGCTCTAAGAACTACTTGTGAACTAATCTGTCAAAACTCACTGAACCTCTTTATGTTAAATCCTGAAATAATATTTAGTAATTAGTGAAGAAACCCGAAAAATTTCCTATTTTCCTGCATCCTTTGAAATCTTATCCAAACTTTGGCACAATTGCAGATAATTTTTCACACATTCCATTACTGCCTCTTATTTAGAAAAAGGACTAAGAGTGGAAGTATTCGAGAACAAGTAAAGTGAACATATCAATAAACCTGCTATAGAATTGGGATCGAAAGATTGATTAATTTTTCTATCGAAAAAAAAGCTAAATATTTTTGAATAGCTAAGCTGCTCTTAAAGTCTTGTGCTTAAAGTTTCCTCACAAATTATAGACAGTAGATATAAGTTAAACAGTCCTTTGGTAGATGGAAAGATGAAGAATTTCCCGGTAACGTTTGCCTGCCAGTGTCATATCGGTGAAATTACGTTAGAATTGTATTTGTTCTTCTTCAATGTTATAACTGTTTAATTAGCCAAAAATGCCTAAGAGTAAGACCCTTCCAGTCAGGGAAAAATAAATCAAAGCTAATATAAATAAGTTTATGAAAAACGAGGCCAGAAATTAAGTACAAATACCATATGATTAGAGGTCGTGTTCTAACAGTAACAGGAATTTCAAAATTTACTCAGAGTCGGGTCTACGTCTCTTTCGAAAGATCGCACACATCGCGTTATATTTCCTACTCATTGATATTGCATGTGATAGCTGTGTTTTGTGGTGATATATGCCTAAGCTGACCAGCAGTGTGATTCTCATCTTTCAATACGGCATGTATCAAGACACCTATGTTCGTTCGACAGATTGCGTTTCTTATGTAATGTCGCTCTCTTTTCGACACGTTAACGTGTCAAGTTCGCACATAAGAATTCCTGTGCTGGACAGACGAATTTGTTCTGCGGAAATACAGCACGTGGTCAAAAAGATACAAATTAATGTAATATTCTCCCTAATTCACCCCCTTACGAATAAATTTCAATCCCTGAAGTCGTCTGAGCGACGTGTAGGGGAAGAGACTGTAACGGCCTACCCCCGAGTACCCCATTTGATCGTTGTTTTGACGTCTGAAATGTTATTATTTACCTCTTACTCTTATTTTACTTTAAATTCTATACTTACTGTATTTGGCCTTTCCTATAGTAGTAGAAGTGATCGTCTAGTTAATTAATTGATAATTTGTTGTGAAAATCTTAAGGTAAACCAGGATTCGATGCAAAATTTGGTGCAAATTAATAAAACCAGACAAATTCATATTTAAACTCTTTTAGTTTTCATACTTTAAATGTGATGCAATAATTAGCAAAGTATATTACAATTGGTACCATTTCTGAGATCTCATTTGAGTCCCGTTCAAACGCAGACCACGTTCATTTGCTATTAATATATATATTTTATTTAGGTTGATGACCAATGGAGTTACTTCATCATGTCACCAGTTGGTCAACTACTGTGTTATGTTTATATTCTTATTTAGGTTGATTACCAACGGGGTTAACGAACATCGCTAATTCACCAGTTGGTTAACTACTGTGTTGATTTGATTATATTCTAGATATACACAGGTTGTACCCTCTTAGGTAAATATTTCGACGAGTATAGAGGTAATGACCAACGGAAGTAACGAACAGCGCCAATTCGCCAGTTGGTTGCCTTACTATGTTTATTTCATATACTTTGTTTCAAATCTTGTAGAATGGGTGGCTTAGCATATAGGCGTCCCCCTTGAGCTAACGAACAGTGTATTCACCAGTTAGTTAACTTACTGTTAAATTTTACCATCTTTGTTTGCACAATTTATCCAAGATAACACATCCTTGTATATCTCTAAAATCTTGATTTTTATAATTTCTATTGAATTACTGTTTCTCGGAATGACTGAAGGACATATGGTTTATTGGTTACATTGATATTTTGAAGCAAATGTCAGGGTCAGGACCTCGTCTAAACGATCCTGGTGGTATCTCAAAAAAAGTTACATAAATATTTTGACTCGCCATTGAAAATACAGTCATTAGATTATGTACTAATTTCTTCTAGCGTTGTGACGGCGTCGATTTAGATACGTCGCTGCGTTGGACGTTGAGCGTCGAGATGAATATAATGGTAGTAAAGACTAAAGTGGTGTTAAAAGTGATAGCGTAGAAAGGAAGGGAAGTAGGACGTCGGGACAATGGGCGTCGAGGCGTTGACACCTTCGGGAAATACGAGGAATTGTAGGATAGACGTCGTTTAGGAAGAACATTTTAGGAAAGGTACACACTATATAACGATACAGATAATAAAGTGATTGCTTACACATCAGATAATAAAAAAATGAATGAATCCGAGCTCATTTGGTTTTGGGTGCTTATACACGTTTTAATTTCTTTTTGTAACGTCTTAGTTTTTCTTAGTTCCCAGCGAAAAACGAATTAGGGTGGAAAGAAAAGTGAGTAGTGCCTTGAGAGCTTTGTTTATCGAAAAATTGTCGAAATCGGTCTTAACATCGAAACTAGAAAGATAAGCGAGTTAAGTGTTTTAATGAATAATTACTTCATGAAAAGAAATATGTTTTATGGTGGTTTCAGGTCGGGTTCCCAGGCACTTGAAAGTGGATCTCTTACGGGCAGGGTTATAGATATTATTTATTAGATGTCGTAAATAAAATTTAATTATCTGGGAGATTTTTCGTTAAATAAAGGATTTTGAATTTAATAAGAATGCAATATTATATTTAATAAATTATTAAGGTACCTGGATGAGGTAGGTTACAGGACGGCTATTATTATTATTTGGCGCTCCGGGGCGACTTAAAGATGATTGATGGTGCCATTTGACTTACAGGTGAGGAAAACCTCACCCACCTACATTAAACTGATGCATAAGAAATCGAAAAGTGAATTACCAATAAAAGAAAAATAAGCAGTTCTTGAATTAAAAACGAAATGTTTAATACGATTAATTTAAAGCATCTAGCAGCATTGAAAGAAGCTGAAACATAAAATAGAACGAAGAGAAGACGACTTCAATAATTAAGAAATCCTTGAAGAGGTTGAGTGGTGGGTACACACTGGGTAATAAGAAATGAAGTGAGAGGGTATTTAACGTGTGTAAATATTGAGTTTTATTAAATAAAACTCAATATTTACACACTTTAAATACTCTCTCGCTTTATTTCTAATTAAAAAATAATTTTGAGGATCGAAGCGATATTGAATTTTTTTAGGCAGTAGACTGAATCGCAACCCCCTTAGATATACAAGCACTTTTCACTGGCAGCTATTGCTAGGCAAGTCTGAAATTGGTTGTAAAACACATTTTTACTAAAGCGATTCTAATTAATGAGCAATCTATATAACCATCATTGGTCCTCTCGTGTCGCTCACAAGTTTGCCATATCGTAACGTAACCCGCGGGCAACATTTTGACAAGTCGTTATAATGCCCCATTCTTTTGGGCCAGAAGGGAGCTTGAATATGTTTTCGGTTTCCAGTAACGTATTGTTATGGGTATAAAAAGTAATAATCCCCTACCTATGAAGACTACAGATAAGGAGGC